CTGAAAAAAGCATAAGGTTTCTGTGCTGGTTGAATTCCTGCTGCTGCTGCTCCATGGACTTCAGTATTAAAATACATGGATTTCAACAGGAAAAAAAGATCTGGAAATTTTGTTTTTTCTAGCTGGCTGTAAAGTCAAGGGAGAAAACGTCAGTAGGGCTCCATTTTAGGAAGCTACAGACAGCTGGACTGTATTTATGCTGTAGCAGGAGTGGCCACTCCGCTCTGTGAAAGCTGGGATCTGACTGAGGCTGTTCAGCCTACAGGATTTGTGGGCCACAGATGCATATGGCAGTTTCTCAAATATATTTTTTTTTCTTCAGTTTCCAAAGCTGTTCCTAAAAAGGCATCTGAAAATATTAATAGGTAGCAACTAATCTCAGAAGTTAGAGACAAGCGAGTGGGCTGTCTTTATGCAGAGGGAGATAGACTGTGCTATTTGTCAAACAATGTCACTTTCTAATATGTTGGCTGCTTACGGTGGGGTTGTTTCCCAGAAAGTCTCTGTTCTGTCCTGATTAATCACCTACTGCAGGTTTAATTAATTCATTAATCACCTACTGCAGGTCAGTGTTGTGCCTAGTTCTGCAACCTCGGCCCTGGGAACAGCTAGAGCTGACTCTGGGAAAGTAAGATACTATAACCCCCTTTATAGGGGAGGGCAACAAAGGTGGTGAAGGACCTGGAGAATAAATCCTGTGAGGAATGATTGAAGGAACTGGGACTGTTTAGTTTCAGGAGGAGAAGGCTGAGGGGAGACCTCATCACTCTGCAGCTCCCTGAAAGGACATTGCAGAGAGGTTGGTGCTGGGCTCTTCTCACAGGGGATTAGTGACAGAGCAAGGGGGAATGGCTTTAAACTGCAACAGGGGAGGGTCAGACTGGACATTAGGAAAAAATTTTTCCCAGAAAGAGTGGTCAGAGAGTGGAATAGGCTGCCCAGGGAGGGGTGGAGTCCCCATCCCTGGGTGTGTTTAAGGGTCGTTTGGATGAGCTGTGGGGGGATGTGGGGTAGGGGAGAACTTTGTAGAGTCGGGCTGAGGGTTGGACTCGATGATCCCAGGGGTCTTTTCCAACCTGAATGATTCTGTGATTCTGTGAATAGAGCTCGCCTTGCCAACTAGTCATCTGAGCTGCACTGCAGATCAGAAGTGGCAGAAGGAGTGGAAGGTCACAGACCCCACCTTGTTCTGAACTGCCCTGTCACTCCACTAGAGGTTTTGCTTGGGAGAAGCTTGCTGCTGCTTGTGTGATTGCTGCTTTGGTTTGGAAATGCTCTAAGTGATGCAAAACAAAAGACCCACAGTTGTGCTGCACAGCACAAGTTATTGAGGTGCCCTGCTCAGACATGTAAGGAGCAAATCTCTGCTGTAATTTCTTTATCGAACAGACCTGACACCATATCCTTTCTGCATGCTAAGTACTCTCCTAGGCCTGCACACAAATGCTGTGGTGGTCTGCATAGTCTATTTAAGAAGCAAAAGGTTTTTTGAAGCCTGTCAGCTGCTGAATATAAGCTTTTCCCTGCTTTTGAAGGTTTAACTGGGAAAACTGAAGAGCTTTTGGGAATATATGAGTCAACATGCAGAGTTTCCAAGGTACTTTTCAGGAGTATTTTATGGTAGCAATGCAAGAAAATTTTGGTTTTCATCTGTTTTTCACAGAAACCACTGTTTACTAAGTCCACTTCTCTTCAGGATACTCTAGTTGCAAACCAGCTGTTTCTAAGAACACTGCCAAGCTGGGGTTCCTTGGGGCTTTTACTTGATAGAGTTCTTAATGCTGCTTAAGCTCTCCCTCCCAGTCTTAGTCTTTGCCACCTAGAAGATGCTGCTCTGGTCTACCCCGAGACTCATTTTTTGGTGAATAAATCTAAACAGAAAACAGCTCACCTGAAAGACTGGGCATTACTGCAGGCAGGCTGGGTTTTCTCACACCGGCCAGAGGTATGGCTGGGCATCATGCTGATGTGTCAGCTCAGGATCACGTCAGTACACATCAGAGGTTGTACAGGGAGGCACTGATAGTGCTTCTCGACACAAAACAGCAGCCTAACCACATGGAAGAAATTGTGGTCAAAAGCTTTGTTTGACAGGATAGGCAAGTAGAAAATGTTACCTACATGCAACAAATTATAGCCTGTCATGGTCACGCTCTGCACAGACCCTGACAGTTGTTAAAAGCTGAAATCATGTACCCTCCCACTTGTACAGATTCAAGCAAGTTGCTTCTGCTGTGCCACCGCCAGCTGAGTGCTCTCTCCAGAATTAGGCATTTCAATGTGAGAAGCAAAAATGGTGAAAGTTCCCCCCTTTCTGCCCTGCTTGTTCCATATCACTGAGAGGGCGAGAAGCACTATCTCCTAGCAAGGCAAAGGATGCCTCAGCTAGACGAAATGATTTGCAGGATGAATAACCACATAATGATGGGCATGAGGCAAGTGCTAAATTTACTACAGCTCTGTACTGACTGATCTTGCATAAAATTAAGCCATTCAGTACTAACTGTCACTTCATGTCCTTCTGGATTATGGCAAAACATCACTGTTGTTCCTTAGCTCTTACAAAACCAACCATATAGCTTTGGCAACAGTACTCAGAAATGCTGCCACCTCCCAGCACACTGGAAATATCAGCTATTTGCCAGAAAAAACTCCCTGGGGCTCACATAGTGTCTCTTCTGGGAGACAGGTGTTCCAGGCACTCACAAAACTTTTGCCTTGAAAAGCCGCAGTGATACTGACCTGTACAGGAAGATCTTTAACAAACTGCAGGAAAACTGTTGTTTCTAATGGCCCTAGGCTTCTCCATCAGCATGCCTGATAACTGCTGCTGAACTTGATGAAACTTGTTTATAAGTCCCGACATAATAGGTATTTTCCTGGAAGTCTGACAGACAGCACTATGCCATTGTGCAGACTGCAGGTGCTGGAAGGTTCTTGTTCTGGCCAGAGAACAGGTCTATGGAATGTTTCAGTATAATGCTGGTTTTCAGTTCCATGTCTCTTGATAATTGGTAGAGAAAGTAGCTTTTTGCAGGCTTAAAATCTGATCCAGCGTGTGTGGACAGGAGAGCAGGACCCAGCGCATCCTGTCCCACATTCAGTGGTATGAGCCACCATGCTTCTCTCTGTCACAGTTTCTCACTCTATCAGATAGAAGCAGTTTTTTCTTACCCGTCAGTGCAAGTTGCACTGTTCATTTGTATTGGTGGCTGGGATCAAAGGTACTCAGCTACGTAAGGGTTCCCCGGAGGCAACAACTGTGGCCTTTCGAAGCAGTTCTACTTACTAAGAGTGGTGTATTATAGTCTGGATGTATTAGCTACTACATAACGATCAAGCCCAAACTTCTAAATAGCACCCACTTACAGCTCGAATACTGCATCTGCATGCAAGGGCTTCAGTAAACTAACCGGTTTCCAGAAGCACTGAGCTGCAGATATAATGGGAGATGACATAAACTGTCTAAATCTACGGAAGATCACGCTGCTGAAATCCTAGTTATTGAAGGCTTTTTTTGCTTGCAAAGTCTTTCCCGAGTGAGTAAATAATAATGGTCACAGAGCTCCAAAAATAAAAGCTAGGATAGTCCTTATTCAGGTGGATGCATATGTGGGTTTATGGACATGCAGAACTATTAATGATACAATATCTTTTTATTCTATTCTCCTCCAAGGATATTAGAATATTAAGCAGACTAAGTTAAACTTCTAGCTGTTGCTGATCTCAGCTCAAAAATATGTATGATGATGTGATGGGCAGCTTTTGAGCTAACTTGGGTACATTTCTCATGATGTTTCTGAACATGCCACAGAAGTCTTAGTAAGCACAGGATAACTGGTAGCATGGGCTGGTGTGACAACAACATGTTTATTTCATTGCAGCTTGACTAAGGACACATCAAACATTAACTGGGTATTAGAAAATAGAAGAAAGGGAACTGCTTTGAAACAATTATAAATATTTTGCCCTTTTAAAAGTGCTGCTTGGAATGTTTTCCTGTGTTTGTATGACATCTCATTGTCATTCTAGAGAAACACCAAATGGAAGAGGGGCTGAGTGTCTTACAGCACATCACAGATGAGGCAGAATCTATCAAAGCTATGACTGTCCAAGACAAGTGCTGCCAGAATAGATCTGTTGCCCATCAGCAGGGTTGATGCACTGCTCCATGGCAGACATGGAATTACATCCCATTATGTCCCTTGCTTCCCAATACTAGCAATGGCACTCCCCATACTGAAGCTATAGCTGCCTTTTTTTTTTTTTTTTTTTTCCTTAAAAGGGTTCTAGAGCAGATTTGGGGCAGCAGACAGCTGTAGCTGGTGACTCAAGAGAAACATCTGAGAGGGTGAATGAAACTAGAAACATCCAGGAGGGATACTGATGAATAGAAAAGGAATGAGAAATGGTGCATAAACACTTTTTAATTGGACTATCAGTGGCTCTTTTATACCTTTACAAAGAAGTTTCTGGATGCAGAATGCCTATCGAAGACACATTTTATTTTTTTTTGACCCAGGTCAGACCAAAAAGGCAAAAGACCATATTCTGCACCCTCTGTTTGTGATTCCCGGTGCAACGTGTACCCTGGAGAATAAATCTCTTAACTTTGTGGAAGCATCAACAACTTTTGGGGGACTTATGTTTAGATCTCTTTCTTCTTGCACACATTAGACATTCTTACCCCCTACAGAACAGGGCGTGAAAAGTTTCTGGGAAACTGGGCTCTGCCTTTTCGCAAAAGGAGGGCAGACATGCCCTGAAGTCCTCCTACACGATACCAAATGCTGTGCATTCAACAGACCTGCCGGTTAATGATCCTGCCCATAAGTAATGTTTTAACCATAGAGTAGCTTTTGTTTGCTTCAAAAGCCACAAAGCCAAAGAGGAAGTGTAGGAGAACGTGGGCAGGACGGTGGCCAGGAGCTTCATGACCTCATCTTTTTCCGCCACATGGGGATTGGTGGCTGTGCCTGGGACAGGGTTTAAATTCCCCGAGGTTGGAGATGTCAGGCAGTTGGGGACGAGGGGAGAAAGCCAGAGCTGCTGAGACCCAACTGGCTAGAGCTGCTGCTAAGAGTGCTCTTGTCACAGCTGACTCCTCCAGCACCAGAAAAGGTAAGTTTTTGCTTTTTTGCCTGACATGTGCCATTCTGTCTGCAGCTTTAGTCAAGGAAGCATTGGGCAGATCTTTGAAAGCTGCTTTGCTGGGCAAGGATGCTTGATGCTTCTCTGTGGAAAAAGGTATGCTTTTGTAGGAGCCAGACTGCTTCAGCGATGCGACGTATTATACATAATCACAATTTTAAACCAGTGTGCTGATAGATGTCAGGAGGAGGTTACTGTAAACCTTGCCACTGAATCAAGTGTTGGAAACTCCAAGCTGGTACTTTAACACAGAAAGCTTCCTCCCTTGTGAAACCACTGCCTGGCGGTGTCCCTGTTTCTCCTGGCAAGCTTGCAGTTTGTACTGCACACTACTGAGTGGATGGGACATGCACCCTGATCTGTGTAACTCTTGAAACTGCAATACCTCTAAGAGAGTGTCCAGTGTCAGGGCCAGCCTTACTAACATATTTTAAATGTGCCTTTAGTAGCCTTTCTTTCCTGCTATGTTTTACTAAAGTTTTAAATGCCTCGTTCATCAGTAAATCAGTTTAATTTCTCAGGGATGTTCCTTATTCTAGGAACTGATCTGTCAGCACCTAAATTTACTCTCCTAGTTTCAGCAGGTATCACTAATTTATCAAATTGCTAAAACTGCAACGTGAGCAGGTGTTTTACTTCATCTCTTGCTTGGAAGCACAGGTTATTCTGTTCAAACTTCTGGAGGGGGAAATAAAGGCCTATCAATAAAAGCAGTTTATGTTCATATAAACTGAGTTTACGCACAGTGACTCCAGTTAATAACTATTTTTAAAATAACTGAAAAGAGAATCCAAGTTGAGTTTGTTTTGTCCTGTCTCTTCTGACAAAATGACATTAAATGAACAAAGATAAACCAAAGCTGATCTTTACTGCACTTTTTCACGAAGCTTTTCCTTTGCCAGTACAAATCAATAGATGACAGGAGTCTGCTCACACCTTCTCTGTGCGCCTACTCTCACCACTGCTCAGTGTTTCTTGGTACCTGTTTTTAAGGTACTTTAATTACAAATCCAGCTGGGTGGGGAGTGGTGATGGGAGAGAGAGGAAAAAGATTGTCATGGGCAGGTTGAATCCTTAGCAGAGAGCTGGTCTCAGCACAGTGAAGTACCCCAGGAGCAAGAAAAAGTCCATGGCATTTTTGTGGTATTTTACCTTGCTGACTCACTGTTCCAAAATACTTTCTAGGTAAAACATCACAATGAAGGTGGCAGTACTGTGTTTATGTCTTATCAGCATCACCGCTGCATGGCCAGTGAGTAAATCACAAATGCATATCAGCAATCACTTGTGTATTTTCGTATTAACAATAAATTAATACTGACAAATGCTTTTTCTCCTTTTTCCCTCAAGGTGAGTAAATCCAAGCAGCGTGCCATTTCTGCCAGCTCCGAAGAAAAATATGTAAGCTCTTTTTGTCTTTCTATTAATTTTCTTTAATAAATCCTTTTTGATTTTTTTTCCTTGAATACACATTGTCCGATACTTGTTTTTTGATTGTAGCCTGCAGAACAGGCCCTCACTTGGCTGTTATGAGCCAGTTTCTCAGGTAGCTGAAGCAGAGAGCCACTGATGTCACTAGACTTTTGCCATGTTAAGTGTCCTGGTTGTGGACTTCTGTTAGTTGTGTCTCTGGACTAGCATCAGAAACGGTTTTTCTAAGTGAAAAATGTGTAAGTTGTCAGTTAAATGAGAAAAGGATTGTAGCATGGCACAACCCACATTCATTAGTATGGATCAGATGACAATATTTGGTGTTGGAAGAGCACTGTAATCCAATTCCCATAATTTTTTGTAGTGGTGAGAGTGAATTGTATTAGTCTTGTATATGATTTATACTCCATAGCCAGCTACTACCCATGTAAAATCAATTCTTTGCTCTGAGAATGAGCTACTGCATTTAGTTTAGACTCTTCATGATGAGGGAGATAAACCACTCTTGGTAAACGGACCTGAGAATTAGCAGAAATTATGGTCATTAGATATAACTCCAAATTTCAGTCAATAAAAATGAGCTGGAGAAAATGATCAGAAATTCCTCAGTGGGAGAGGCACATCTTCTGGATTATACTGTTTGGGTATAATGTTCATCTGGGATCATGGCTTGTTCTGAGTCCTCTTCCTAGTGCGATGAACGTGCTGTACAAAAGGAGTATGTATTGCAGATGCCACATCTGTCTGGAAACAGAGTTTGTGATGCAGACACACTCTTGCATGATCCTTTTTGGATTAAAACCACCTTTTTGTTTTTCTCTTCAAGGACCCCAGGGGCCATCACTCACATAGATATCACCACCACCGCATGAATTCTCAGTCTTGGGAGAGACTGCAGCACCCGCAGAATGATCTGGCATCACCTCAGCAGGTATGGGAAACTAACTGGAAGAGAAAGCAGAGCATCTTTCCATGCCAAGATTTGCAAGTCAGGATTAAGTGTTAAAGAATAGACAACATGCTGATCAGCTCTACTGTATAGACCTTTGTATGCTAACAGTTAATTTTATGTTGTTTTCAGACTCTTTACTCTTCAGAAGAAAGCGTGGATGTCCCAGAACAACCAGTAAGTGTTTTGAACAGCAAAATGTCAGTTGAATGCTGCAGGGCAGCCAGTGTGTAGCAGCACTCATTTTCCTCAATCAAATGCGGTTCTTGTGGTAACATCTCTCCCTAAATAAAACAAAGCTTCAGGCAGGGTGAGATGAATTCAGAGCAACTCATGCACATAGCTCCTCAACAGTGTATAAACCCTGGATGAGGAGGACAAATACCAGTCTGCACAATCTCACAGATATGTTCATTTGCCTGATGCATAATAAATGTTTTCCAGCACTTTCCTGATGTGTCAAGCAAGAGCAATGAAGATGTGGATGATGATGATGATGATAATGATTCCAATGACACGGATGAATCTGATGAGGTTGTCACGAGTTTTCCCACAGACATTCCAGTAACTGTACCCTTCCCTCCTTTCCCTTTCACCCGGGGAGACAACGCCGGCAGAGGCGACAGCGTGGCCTACAGGGTGAGGGCTAAAGCCACAGTGCTGAAGTCTAGCAAACTCCGCAAAGCTGCAAAAAAGGTAAATAGCGCTAAACAGTGGTACCCAGGTTTTTTGGAAAAGGGTAGTGAACTTAAAAATGAATGTGTTACTTTAGGGGCATCAGTTTTGACAAAGGATTGGTGAGAAGAAAGTAGGTGTAAGTGAATTAATGTATTTCCTTTTTCTGGAGACCCCAGATCAGGGGGTATTGATGGCTGTTGATATGCTGAGGCAGGAACATAACCTGCTGCCACAAGCTATGCAATGCTGCAATTTGTCCTTGCATACATGAAATCTGAGGCCAGGATCAAACTCGAGTTTCTTGTAATGCAAAAGGTTCATATAACTCCATAAAAGACCACAGTGTTTTTTTTCCAGGCAGTGATGTATCATGCAGGCTTTGAGTGTCCCTGCAGCCTGTGCAGCTTGCTTTGGTGTAGTACAGCAGTACCTGTTGACAGAGCAACTCCTCAGGAGTGACGATGACTTTCTTGTTTTGCTCTCTAATGCAGCTCATTGCGTATGATGCCACCGAGGAGGATGAGAGCGCCCTGGATGCAGACAGCCAGCAAGCAGGGCTCTCCCGGGAGGATCCTGCTGCCCGTCGCTCCCTGGTCAAGCACGCCATCAGTGGGGAATGGGCTGACAAGAGCCACGCACAGGACAGCAGCGAGCTGGACAGCAAGCAGCGTGACCAGAGCGTGGAAAACGACAGCCGGCAGAAATTTGATAGCCATGAGGCAGAAGGAGATGATAGTAGGGCTGGTGTCAGAGGGGAGAGCCACCAGAGTGCGGAAAGCAGGGAGAGCCAGGTCCACGTTTCAGCTGAGAACCGCGACGATAACAGCAATCAAACGTTGGAGAGCGCAGAGGATGCTCGAGATCATCACAGCATCGAAAATAACGAAGTCACCCTTTGAAGGGAGACACGTGTAATGTTTCCCTTCAAGTCCTACCTAAGGGGAGGGGGGGAGTAGCTTCATTTCGGGTAACTGTAAATGTAGAGCACGTGGTGACTTACTGGGTTTGGGGCAGCTTGTTTACCCGGTGGCCTCCCCTGGGCCACCAGCCCTCCGCGCTGCAGGTCCCGCCGGCCTCATGGGATGCAGCGGGCCGCGGCGTGGGGCAGCCAGGCAAATGCTGCCGGCCGCACGGAGCCAGCGTTACCTCTCTGGCATGCTGCTCTCTCTACTGCCAGCCTGTATTTTGCTGTAACTGGATTTCAATAAAAACCACAAAACCCTGTACCTGTGGGCTGCGGCACTGGCTTTGCTGGGTTGGGGCAACGGGGGAGCTTTTGGGCTGCGTGAGGTGCTTTAATACCTCTCCTTCTTAATATTATGTGAAATAGCTGTTCCCCCGCCATTTATTAAGCGGGTAAAGCCCCTCCACGGGGCCGCCTCCTGCTTTTACCGAGGGTGAGCGGTGAGCTAGCCTGCAAGCACCCGGCGCCGGCCCCTGCACCTCTGCCACAGAGGCGCCTGGCGGCTTCCCGCCCCGGGGCTTCCCGCC